TATTGAATAACTTGCCAAGACAGCTAGAGATGGCAATTCCCCTGTAGTTGGCCGGGTTATTTTTCGACCCAGATTTGTGAATTGGTACCAACAGGCCAGTGCTCCAAGAATGTGGATAGTTATTTGAACTATAAACAATATTAAAGAGTTTATGTATTGCATCTAATAAGTGATGTTCACCGTATTTTAACAATTCATTGCAAATTCTATCTTCTGCCGAAGCCTTGTTACTTTTAAGAAGTCTAATGGCTTTAGTTATTTCATTTTTTAAGATTGGTCTGTCTAAATAGGGGTTGCTACTTGCATTCTTTTCACTATTCTCCAGTTCATTCACAATCTCAGAGTTTGATGTGCTGCTATCAGTATTAAGTAGGTTCTTAAAGTAAACCAACCAATCACCAGGTTGAACATTCCCATTATTATTACTGGGGTTTTCGCCATTCATATCACGAAGAATGTCATGATCGTTAAATACATGTTCGCTAAAATACAATCACTGTTTTAGTCACAGCAGCAGAAATTTATCATAATATAACGGATAATACATACATGCAGTAAACCAATCTGAGTTGACATAAGTGGTGTCTCTATTTCTAAATCATAGGCTGTCAATGCTTTACCCCAGGCATGTTCATGCTCATATGTATGGATCCTGAAATATAGAAATAAAAACAAAAATTCTTGGTGGATAACTGTTCATATTTATAACAGTAACTTTTATAATAAGGATGTAAAGGTTACCAACCTGGCTGTAGTATCAGTCAATCTACCAGCACCATATCCATATACACCATCTGGTTCTCCTATACTACTATAGGCTTCTAGTAATAGTGACTGTACATTAACAGGTGAACTCGTTGATAAATTACTCAATATTTCCATACTGTTTTGACTGTTTCCTTGACTCACTTCTTCGTCATTTTCTTTTGCATTCATTTTAGACCTACAAATATACAAGAAAGTGATTACTGACACAGCCATTAAAACACACGTTTTTTGACAGAAGAGTTTCCTGAGGAGGACAGAGGAGTTTGAATGAGTTGGTGCAGAACACACAGACAGACACCTTTAACGATAGCTCCTCTTGTCATCTTTGATGATAGTGAAGTTGAAACCCAGGGGAGGCACTGGTCTTCCAGTTTGGTAGGGGTGTGCGGCCAGGAAGTAAAACCCCACCCCATCATAGACCATTTTCATCTCTAAAACCATACTGCATTATAGACTAAATAGTGATTTTGTATATCCCATCAGAGACCAGATTTTCACTAAATTTATTCAGTTATAGGTTGAATCTACTCATCACCTGACTCATCAATAAAAGTACTAAAACTCAAGTAAATACATGGAAATCGAAAAAACAGACCCCATCCCCGGACCCATTGTACACAGGCAAATCTGATATTGGACCTAAAGGGCAAGCAAATGTATACCCCATTCTAGACCAAACAGCTAAAATTCACGACCCCAAAGGGCGACACGTCCCCATAATGTGATTTGCATTAAGTAACCCCCCCCCCCAGCGCTGAAAGAAGCGACAAAAATAAAACATTACACATCTCCCTTTTAGATCAACCCAACAGAATGTTTAGACAACAATCAACACTGAGGGCGCTATTAAGAAATGTCAACTTACTTTTCTATATCGCACCATATTTCAGAGTAGAGAACACATGTAAAATGGGCAGCACAGCTCTGGGCTGCTTTGGCAATCAGTACATAATCAATATCTAACCAGAAGTTATTATTCCACACAGTTACAGGTGCTTTGCTTCTCCTTGAACATAAAAACAGAAAGTCAATTTATAAATGTGCAAGGTAGTTGCATTAATATGGTGATTGTATTGTCATAGAGTTTGCAGAAAGAATTGCTATATAGCATTCTATAGTGACAACATTGAAAAATGTAATGTTTCATAAGTTTTCAAGAATTTGATAGATTTACTACAGTGACAGAAACTGTGATCAGCCATTCATAAATGACGTCATAAAATGAATGACAAATTATGCCAAGGACCATGAATTGTTATTACCGGTAGGTCAAGATTGTATTATGTCTTGCATTTAATCAAAATCGGTCCAGGCATGTCCAAGAAAAGATGGTGATCATACGCGCCCGGGCACTGGTGTAAAGTCTTGTTTTTCAACAGAGACTAAAAAGTAGTATTTTCGATGAATGTTGAGTGAAATTTATGTTTTGCATTGCTACATAATAAATTTAATTTTATAATTGTGTATACTGATTATAGAGAATCTTTACATTAATACAAGGACGTGTATATAATAACTTTTACCTGGCTCAAAGCTGGCTTAGATTGGTTTCAGAACCACCAAATATTAAAATTAGGTGATTTTACACCAAAACTGACCATCATCAAACGTGTGTAGCACATTGTTAAAAATGGAAATACTGCAAAAATATTTTCACATTTGATGAAATCCCATGTAATGTTTCGATGTCAGTATGACCTTTGATTGTCCTGTTTTTACATTTGATTTCATGCATAACATGGAGATCATGGAAAATGGTCTTTTTTCTGCCTACATAGTCACACAACATAAATACTACAAAGAATAAATTAAAATTATTGATGACAAAGATGATACACATTTCATATAAAAATTATTAGTTTATATGAAAAAGTAAAGCCAGATTGCGAGTTAGGTTAGGCTCTGATTGTACTCCAAAACAACATGAAGGGGTGCTGTGTAGAACAAATTCTATGTGTGCAACCGTGAACTCTTGAGAAGACTTACCCAAATTTTGGTTTATTTTGTAATCTAAGATAGTGTATAACATCCAGCATAGTTCTAACTGACTGCTTGGTAATCTTGCCAGTGCAACTTGATTCCCCTATAGAAAATAAATCACAGCAATAATAAGTTCCAAGATAAATTGACGATTATGCCATGTTCATTAAACAGTCAAACCTGTGTATAGTGACCACCCAAGGGGCTTCATTAAAAATAGACAGGTAGTCTTTATAATGAGGTTGGAGTATTCTTTGTGGATTGCCAAATCATACATTTGATATAATATTGATTTATAAATAGAATGCTAATTATTATTTTAGTCTCAAAAATAAAGATAAATTGTCAAAAATATTGATGGTCACATAAAACGGATGGTCGTACGTTATACCCTGGGACTGGCTGGACATGAATAAAGGAACCCTGATTTTTACTACTTGAGGTGAGCATCCTATCATCTAATTAAGTACATGGTCACATTGGTCTGAAATTTCTGCATATTTTGGGGGGCATTATTATTCAGAATTTTAGGTTATTATTACTGACTTACCTTGTGTTAAGAGGGGTGTTGTAGCCTTACTACTGTCCTCTAGGTCCCCACAATGTCTACTAAAGAACCCTTGTATCTGCTGTGATAACACCTGTTTGTACGTCTCATTTCCAATCAGTAGTATCTCATGAACTAGGAAGGGCAATACACGCTCACTGAACTCAGCCTTATGAAAAGAGAAGATGAAACGAGGACAACTTAAGGTAGAAGCCTACTCATAATTTTTGAGAAAATTGTGTATAAATCGCATGACAGTGTTCATTGTTCAGTATGTAAAATCATGAAGCTAATGTCCCATGGCACCATGAAATAGAAGTTCTTTTGTGTGTTGTAGTGAAGTATTCTGAGAGTCTTGTCCTAACATTTTTCAAAATGGAACCAAATTAATAGTAGTCCAAAACACACAGACTCCTAACTTTTCTCAGAGATACAAATTTCCAAAAAGTAGTATTCCAACTGTACTAGAAATCAGTAATTTTATTTCTACATTGGCTTTTACATGTTATGATTTTAGAAAGGTACAAACACAGTCCCTTTATCTATGATATCTATGATAGAGGGACTGTGGTACAAAATATTCTTTGACAGGCTAAATTTCTACAAACACTTTCAATGAAAAAAGTTAATGTATTTTACAAAATAATCAACAAAAAATGCACATATGTAGCTTGCTGAGACTGTCTTACATTTTGATACAGTTTTTTTAGACGAACTTTTTTTTCATTTTCTGGCTATAACTGTGTTCCTACATTGATATACGAACTGCATTTGTTTGCAATGATGGATAGCATCTTGGGATTTCCAGCTCTGAACATTAGCACAGCTAGGTTTGCAAATAAATTGTTACTTTCAAACACTGATATACGTGAGCATGCAATAAGTTTGTATTATAGAAGAAATCATTGTGCTGTGTTGGCTGTATACGGTTGGTTATTGCTTTAACATGGCATTTACATGTATTTTTGTAACAGAGCACTTCAATTCACAGCTTGCACAAATTCATACCATATACTTACCTTCACTTTACATATGGGAGTTAGAAGTCGTAAGAACTCATCATTAATTCCACCATCATTTATCAAAGTAGTTGCTAGGTTACAGATCCAATCGTCATGGCTACCATGATCAGGTATCCATAACAATGGATCGCCAATCTTTGCTGAAAAACTCTCCATATCGGCAGAAATTGTTGGCAACGCAAACATCTGCAAATTCAAATTCATTTTATAAAGTATCAATTTTTGCTATAAACCAAAATTATTCACAAGGAAGCAATAAAGTTATTATTATTATATGTAATATGATAAACTGGTATAATATATGATATGATATGATTTAATTTATGATATGTGATTATACTTACGCTTTTCTTATGAGGTTTGAATGGATGTAGATAAAACAAGACACTGTCAATATTGCGTGATTTGTAGTCTTCATAGAATACTCGTCCAGATGGAGTAGAGAAAATATTTTTCAGGCAATCAGCAGATGCACTCACAATATCAACACTATGAAGAAAAGTCAAGATATTTATTAGGTGTTTTATAATGGCTATCAACAATTATAGTAGTTCGCTATCATTAACCTTTCCATCACCAGACTTTCTCACCCAAATTTGCACTTTTTTCTTATATTTTTCAATATTTCTGAAAATGAACCCTAATTTTGGAGCCAACAGTACAAATTTTTGTCAATTTTCAGTTTTTATTTAAAAAATTTGGCTATTTTTGTTCCAAACTTTTGAAGGAAAGAGCAGACTATATGAAGGACTATATGAAAAGAGGGAAAAGTGAAAAGGTTAAAATGCAGACAATGTTGATCACAGTTAATCATTGAAAAATGTATGTTTATTTTTAATGATCGCAAACTACACGGAATAGATTTTTCGTTCACTGCGAATTTTCGCATATTGAGTAAAATACGTACGTCTATCGAAAAAATCAAATGATTTGATTTTGAACTCTAATTTTTATAGCTCACTGTAAACATGATGATTGTTGAAAGGTGAATATAGCATTGAGATACCCTTACTTCATCAAAATTGACCACCATCAAATGTGTACAACACATTATTAAGCGGGGAAAATACCCCAATAATACTTTCGTTTATCGAATCAATGTTTTAACGCCATTACAACACCTGACCTTTGTTTGTTCTGTTTTTACGTTTCATTTCACGCACAACGGGCAATCTCAGTGAATGGAAAATGGTCTATTGTGTTATTTGAACATTTTTTGAAACTTATTGACAGCCATATGGCTTATAACAAACCATAAGTACCTGCCCGTGGCTATCTTAAAAGACGAATCATAACGATGCGGCATGTTATATATATGGGTCCCATACGACATATATAATGTGCTTAATACAATAACATTGTTTCTTTTATACAATAAATATGAATATGTGGTGCACAAACTTTAACACAAATTCAAGATTCAGGGCATTGCGTAAATCGGTAAATGTTATTTTAAAACATTCCCACGTTATAAATTCTTTCAGTGTCTCTGACCTTGGATCTGTCAGGTATTCTTGCAGTAGGTGTATAATTATGCTGTTTCTCCTCTTGCCACTGTTACCCTTGTACACCTTCACAGCTGTACTATAACTTGTATTAGTGTCTTGGTACTTGAGTGCTATAGTTGAAAGATCTGCCGCACCAATCTCTCCAAGGCATCTGCCAGCTTCCTCTTGAATGGCTTTCTGGTTCCCATGACAACCATGGCCATAGTTACCGACTTGGACCAGGTGTATCAGATCACAGATGAGCAGTAGTAGAGTGCTTTCAGATGGATTTTCTGAAAACAATCAATGAATGACTTTTTGTTTAGAAAAATGGTCTCCAACCATCAACAACTGCAATCAATTCAGCTAACTCAGAAATCGTGATTGTGTTTTCCCTTTGACCATCTTGACATTCCTTTCAAACAGAATGCCAGTTTAGATGAGTTTTCCCTTTGCTACTATCTTGACTACGATATTTAAATGAGACTAGCCCCAGTCTAACTGCACAACGTTGAAAACTACTTACCTTCACACTGTGACACCAGTACTGCTAAATCGTCTTTCTTATCAGCGAGGTGTTGTCTCAGATACTTGAGACCTTCCAGTCTATTGGACGATTTACAGGTGTGACCAACTCTCAGAAAATGATGAATCTCCTGTAATATACCACACAATCATTTCCTTCATTATTCAGTGGTAGATACAGAATTTCAAGTTAAATATTTGAAACATACATAAAATGTATCTTTACAAAGATGTTATGGGTATCCCAAGATGACTATCGCGATTAGCAAAACAAAAGCAACAACAACATGTACACTAGAAAATAGAGGGCAGTAATATAATTAAATACTATGAGATTTATTAGGATATCGCTAAATATTCATGACGACAGTGCATTATGATTATTGACTGACGTGTAGTGTAGGGCATGCACCCATGTACTGTCTAAGTGCATTAATTTGCAGCATATTTATAATATCTTGCCGACCTAACCACTTGGTTCAAATATTTCTCCCATCTGGGAAATATGTCGTAACTGTTCCAGTTAATTGATTTGCAGATGCATTCATCAATTCTGATGAGGTCATTGATTCACATGGCAGTTCATTACAATATTTTATAACAAACAAACAAACAAACAAACAAAAATCTCAATAACACCAAAGAGCGTGTGTGCATTGTACCCACCTCAAGTAAATTGAAAGACCTTCCATTGTATTTGACTTTGTTCTGTATTTTTCGTGCCTCTACAAACGGCATAGAACTAGGTAGAGGATCTATTTCTTCTATTGCCTTTGATAGTTTAGTTTCATTTTCTACAATCAGATATTCAAGCAAACTGGTAGCCTGGGAAATAAATATGGAAATATTATAGAATTCATCAACATGACACAATTTTTATAAAAACTTTCTTCTCACAGGCAGATTCTCGTCAGACAGAAAAAAAAACCAACCTCCAAAATTTCAACCAGCAATTCAGAATGCAAAATTATATTGAAATCCCGACTGGAACCAGTGACCTTTGAATGTGTATTGCCAGTGATCAGTCAAGTAGAAACAGTCGAAATGTTTTATCAGATTTCGACTACTCTCTCAATTTTTGCATGATATTTTCACACTGGACATCTGTCGTTTGTAGTTAGGGAGGATTTTACACTGATGATTCAGGTGACCAAGTTTGATAAAGTTTGGAATAGAATTAGTACAGTTAATGTGCACAATTATTAACAACAACTGGGACAGCAACAATGACAACAACGACAGACGTTTTCCATTTAATATATCTTTCTTTTCATCTTTGATGATACAGGCAAGGTAAGGTATCTTTTATTTTATTTTAATTTTAGGACCACCTACATTTCTCTTACATGAAAACAAATCTACATCAATGCAACACTGCTGTCTCTCTTAGTGATTGTCATCTCATTTAAAGGGGTATAACTCAATCCATGGGATTAGACCAAAAGACATCACTGTCTACATTAGTTTTTTGGTATAATAAAACAACTGTTTTTACCTGTCTTCCAACGTCAGTGTCCTCCTCTGCATGGGGAATAAGTGCTGTTACGATGACATGTAGATGTCTGCCGAATTCCTGAAATAATTGATAGTACAATAACAATCATTTCTATGAATCACGCCCTCTAGTGACAGGATGATTCCGTGATGTCATAATTATGTATATTAGGCAGGGACAATGACGTTCAAACCAGCAGCTGTGTAGTCAATTGTCATATAGTAAAATCGCTCAAACATGTAATTTTCATCGACGAACTACAGATCAAAAACATATCCATGATTTGAACATTGATTGTGTTATCCTTTTACATCATAGAAGAACCTCGTCACTAGAAGACGCAATTTATATAAATACTGTATTTATAATAACCTTAAATGTAAAAATGTTGTGGGGATAAATTATCTACTTGCCCTGAAACACCAAGGAAGATGAAATCAGAACTTTATTGTTTAGCCGCAATCATGTGAACAAAACATGATGTCATCGCTCATGTCTAATATTAGCCATAGAGGGTGCAGTAATGCTAACTATTGATCTCAATACATAACACCTTTCACATTATCAACTCTTGAAGAAGATAAGTGTTGGTCAAAAAGAGCAATTTTAGAATAGGAAAAAACGTTTAAATTACGAATTCAAAATTGTGTACCACATTTGCTGTAGAAGCACACGTGATTAAAAAAAAATATTGTTTTGATTAAACTTATTAAAAATAAACCGAACCGAACTGAGTTCTTTTTAGATATAAATATAACTAGGTTTTTGCAAACCCCTCACCAATGGCGAATTAATTTTAGATTTGACTACTGCAAATTATGTCACTTTTGGAAAGAAATTCAATCAAATATTATTCTGAGAAATGGTAATTGTTTAAATGATTTCTCATAATGTTAAAGGACGATGGTTGCCGCGCAGCGTCCTGTTTGATATGGGACTCCTAGCAGCGTACACATCACGTGTAAAATACATTGTTTTTTTACTTGAAATTCAAATACACGCTGCGCGACGACCACCGCCCTTTAATCATTCAATCGTTTGCACTACTTTGCGTAAGCCCTGTGCGATATCTCACCTCATAACAGCATTTAGTGGCCGATTCACACACTGTGTGTAACAAATCAATACACAACAAGATTAAATCAGACGACTTGGTGACATCACCCATGAAATGTACCAGAGTATAAATGATATCTTGTAGTACAAAGGCCCATGTACCACCTAAACCCAGGTGAAGCTCAGTCAGAAGCAATATAACAAATAGTCTATACATCAGTAGAGCTCGTCGCTTTTCATGGATGTGATGTGCCCTTGCCATGTGAGTATGTAGATGAAGCAGTATCTTCTGTATACTATCCTGAAATATTAACAAGGGTTCATTAAAATAAGGGTTTTCAGCTTGCATAATAAATGCGATCAAAATCATGTTCAAATTCACATATACACTGTGAGAGTTTGGTAATAATGACAATAATTATTCACGTACATCATATCAATATTATCTAATCTTATAAATTATTGCATATTAAACTCTCATGAAAAATGGTTCTGAGAATATTGATTCATTCTATGAGCCTACTTGAACTTTTATGAGGAATATTTTATAGGCTGAATTTGTACGAATTGTTGGAAATATGTACTAAACATTGAATTACAATGACTTTCAGTGAACCCGACTGTGATTGTCACGACCTCCCATTTAATTGATTGTGCATTAAAATTTCATTTTTTAAATATTTTTTTTTCTAAATAATGTTGCAACGCAAACAGATTCAGAAAAATTTGCTTTGGTTTTGAATTACTGCTGCAGCAAGACAAATCAATTTTTTTTCTACAATTCACACAGACCATCAAATACTTCACACTATATCTCAAGTCAAATACATGCTCTCAGAAGACTTTTCTTTCAAAATATTTATTATAAATAAAACCAACTTTTATCTGCCCAAATGTGTAGAATAAATAGATTTAACAAGCTTCAAAAGTGACTATTTTACTCTCAATGTGACGGCAACTCAGCACAGTTCTTTAAACAAATGTTTTAAAAATTTACCAAGTGTTACTTTTCTCATACCTGTGTTTTCGACAGCAACGATATAAGTGATTTGTTGCTACTACCGCTGACTTGGTGACATTCAGTCAAGTAATCTAACGTTGCCTTGATGGTATAAGACGTAAAACTTGGTGGGTTTGGTTGTGGGTCGGTATCTCTGAAAACATAAAACACATACAAGTTGTTGTTTTTTATTCCATTTAATTAGTATTCCTTTACATCAATATCCCAAAGTGAATTTGACTGCAATAAAAATACCCAAGTGAAAAAATATTTTGTTTTTAATCTCTGGCAAAATATATTTGTTGGACTGAATCTGTATTAGAATAATACCTGAAGTCCACTATATATTTGTTACTAGTATTAGAAACCCAACTGCTTACATGGTATATGTCTTGTCTAAGCTGCTTAAAAAAAAAAATCGATGTATAGGGTCTACAGGTTTTATCTATTCCATCCATCAGGTCATGACTGTTTTGTTATTTGTTGAGAATACAGTTTTTTAATACCGTTTGTCACAAAATGGAATGAATTGTAAACTGCGAAGGATGCTAGAAAACAAATTGCGGCAAATATGAAAAAACAAAATGTGATCGCCTACCTTACAGCATTATGAAAATCCTGTGCAATTCACAGGGTATTTTGCTTGATTACAAATGTTAAAAAAGCCCAAAAGTGAAATTAAACATCAGGTGATCACCTCAGAAAAAACATATGCACTACTATATCACCTATATTCAAGCTTTTGAATGATGTATACGATAGGTTGCTATGGTAGCATGCTTAGTAGCGTTAAGAAAATGTTTGAATCGCAGATCAATTTTTAACACAGTTTTGTTAAATTAAACATTTTTATATTAATAGTTTTATTTTTTAGTAAAACGCTATAATGTTGGCAAGATGGAATAGTACGTTAGAACTCTCAAAAGAAGGAAATAATATCAGTAATATAATTACTAGACAGAATTAGAAGACAGAAAAGAAAGTAAAAGAAGACATTCAAGAAAAGAAACTAATAAATTCTATAAACACACAGACAAGCACAAGAAATTAAAATATCTGGATATCAAGTGAATCCGGTCAGATTTTTATCAAGCAGAGAGTGTACAACTTACTTTACAAATTGTCCAATGTCACTATTTAAAGAGTGTGGTTCATGTAGCGTCATTAATAATACCACTACTATTTCATCTAAGTGACTCTGTATGAGTTTCTCCACCACCTACGAAGAGGACAGAAACAATGACACAACAGTAATGTTTATTCAAAAAGGCTCCAAATATAAGAAACAAAGTACTGTAAAATACTTTATTTTCGCTTGGAAATAATTTTCGCTGAAGGAATGATTCAGTGAAAATAAAATCCAGCGAAAATTCGTTTTTTCCTATATTTTACATTCAACTTATCAAAAATCAGTGAAAATAAATTTCATACAAAACACACAAAAAGTCTTTTAAGCGAAAATTAATTCCAGCTAAAATAAAGTATTTTACAGTATACTGTAAAGGGGGTAATTATTCACTGGGTTTTAATTTAGCTTATTTCGCTGACTGGAAAAATGCGCTAAATTAAAACACAGTGAATATGTAAAATTTAGCATAGAACACATTATCTAAATGACAAAACCGTGAATTTAAAACCCACTGAATATGCCCGAAATGGTAAATCAGTGAAATTTAAACCCAGTGAAAATTAGTCATTTTACAGTACACACAATGTACATCAAAAACAAAGGCATACTGAAACTGGCCACTGGTGGCACTACACAACTATCATCCAAATTTACCTCTTGAGTTAAGATATCCTGCAGGGTCGTTAAAACTTGACTGGCATGTGCTTTCCTCTTTTTCTGCTCATTGCTGAAATCCTCCCCTTCTCTGGTATGTGCAAATGTTGGTATAATATGGACAATAATCTGTGGGAAGCACTCTACCAGCAGTTGTTTCCAGTCAGTCTGTAACTCTGCGCCCAGTGTCTGTACCAATTCAATCTTATTGTTCATTATTATATATGGAATCATTACTTTGAAGTGCTGTCTGAGAAATGAAAAGATGAATCACTATTAGTATTACTGTGAAAACTGTATTAAAAGCCGCAGCTTCTATTAAAATGGTACAATGCAACAGAGGGAATGCGGCTTCTATTAGAGCATCCACACATATGAGAAATGGTGAATTTTTGGGTCTCCATTGTTTGGTGCAGCTTTTATTAGGGATGCGGCTTCTTATACAGATTTTACGGTACCGCTTTCAGCTTAAATATCACCACAACCAAGAACATCAACGCCATCAGGGAACATCATCTCCATCAATATCATTACCATCTCCAATATTAATATCATTCATTAACTGGAAAATATTTTATTTTAGCTGGAATTAATTTTTGCTGAAAAGACTTTTGGGTGTTTTGTATGGAATTTATTTTCACTGATTTTTGACAAGTTGAATGTAAAATATAGGAAAAAGGGTATATGTGCTGGATTTTATTTTCATTGAATCTTTCCTTCAGCGAAATTAATTCCAAGCGAAAATAAAGCATTTTACAGTAGTTATAAATAAGCACATGATGAATAAATTAAGTCATGGCCAACTTACTTGAAAAACTGTTTTCTTGTTGTACAACTAAAAAGTCTGAATGGCATGTCGTTGATGTCATAACCAACTTCCAACCATTTGGAAATGATATAACCGAGATGAGAATCCAGAAACGAACGCACATCAGGAAACTTCAAATTAGATGATATTCCTTTCATGACCTTATATATATATGATAAAATACAAATTGAAAATTCCTTGCATACTGAATGACAGTTATCGCTACTACAAATTGTTTTCCTTGCATTCGTCTAGTTCATAGGAGTATTTTTCAAATATTTTGACGTCAAGCGACAGTTTCTAACACTGAATGTCTCCTGTGCCAAATACAAGTAAAAGTGGTGTTCATACATGCAGTGCATTTTGCCCAGAAACCATATTTCATGTTTGTAGCAGGGTTTTGTGATGTGCTATCTTGGTGTCAACTGGGTTTGACCGAACACATGTATAACTAGTAGTATAAAAGAACCTGACAGAAGACTTTGAAATGCACCAATCAATGTCCAAAATTAATAAACTAACTTGATGTACTGATAGTATAATTTTTTTTGTTTTGATTTTAGGCCACACCGACTTAATTGTATGGATGACATCCATGCGCGCATTAGTTTTCGCCTTTTCTCAAAAAAAAAAAAAAAAATCTCCAACGACGAGTCTCTACAGATCGGTTTTCTGTCCGGAACTTGCCGACTCATATTGTCGCAAAGCGCCGGCTTGTCGTAAAACTCTTTTTGGTCTATCTAAAAACGTGCCAATTTTGTCGTAAATGATCTTCTGCACATGCGTATTGCGTTGCCAGGAATACGTGAGCATAACAGTTCAGAGGAAAAACTGAGGGATTGTTGTAGACTGGTACGCAATTGACGTCGGCCAGGGAGATATGACGTTTACACAGCTATACGAGAGATTGGTTAAAGCTAACCCCTACTGTGTAGAGAGGAGCAAG